TTTATTGGGAAAGCAAAAGCATTTCCAAAAGTCCTGCAGTTGACTTCTGCTTTTATTCCATTGGCAACCCGAACTGCAAGGAAGGTTTTTCTTTCTTTTTTTCTTTTTCTTTTTTTTTTTTTTTTGCGGGAGTAGGAGTGGGAAAGTGGTGGGGGATGGGGTAAGGGGCAGGTAAAGATAGGCAAGAAAGAAAAGAATAGGAAATAGTGGTTGGTTTTCCCATCAGTGATGTCTGTCACAATCTACAAACTTAATTTATGTAGACATTGAGGATATATAGTTAATTGAAATTAAATTCTGGTTGTAGTCCCTAAATATTTTATATGTTGTACATTTTTTAGGACTCCAGTTCAGTTGTAGAGTGGACACAGGCCCCAAAGGAAAGAGGTCATCGAGGATCAGAACATCTGAACAGTTATGAAGCAGAGTGGGACATGGTCAGTACAGTTTCATCTAAAAAGAAGCCATATACCAATGGAGGTATGAATTAAATCTTTTGAAATCTTAAAGTGATTTTCTACAATATAATAAAAATAAAACTGCAAAGAAAATTCTTTAAGGATGATTTGATCCTTTAATACATATAACTCATATTTTAGTTATATTCCCTCTTCATCTCCTTGTTTTGTTGATTGTGACTTTATAACAAAAAAAAGGGTTTAAAACCACGTGTTCTGTTTTGTAGTTATTCATGACAGAAAATAGAAACACTTGAAAAAATTGCTTTAGAGGTCTCACACATTTTTCTAGAATTAAAAAACATGTTATTTCATCCAAAAGCACCAGGGGGAGATGGAGTATACCAGTTAACCATACTGTTCTAATTTCAGTGATTATTGAGATCTACACAGTTCATTATAGTCTCCCATTTATATATATGTTTAGTGACTATTCTCTTTTATATGTTACATGTATATATTTAAATTTGTGTTGCTACTTGATTATCTACATGTAAATAACAAAAAAGAGCGAAGCTAACAACCTGATAGATCACATATACTACACTAAATATGACTCAGGTAGGCCATCTGTGATACAGTCCTATGTATTTGTGATTTCTTTTAGAAATAGTAAATACTTGTACAGAATTAAAATGCTTTTTTTCCCGTATTGATTAACTTGTGTTTTATAACTAGAAGGACATTTACTCTCTTACTGATTTTGGTCTGAGGTTTTTTTTTTTTTTTTTTTTTTAAGATTTTATTTATTCGTGAGAGACAGAGAGGCAGAGGGAGAAGCAGGCTCCATGCAGGGAGCCCAATGTGGGACTTGATCCCCAGACTCCAGGATCACGCCCTGAGCCAAAGGGAGGCACTCAACTGCTGAGCCACCCAGGTGTCCCTTGGTCTGAGTTTATAATTTATCCACATTGCCCGGATTCAGAAAAGCCTGGCCAAAATTGGTTAGAATATGTAAAGCTACATTTATAGAGCTTTGTGACTCAGTAAATCTGATTTTTTTTTCTTCTTCTTCTTCTTTTTTTTTGTAAATCTGATTTGCATGTATGGTCTGGGAAATCATTCTCTTCTGCAATAGTTATACTTTGTACTGTATCATCTCTTGGAAACAGTGGCAATTAAGTTAATAGTAATTCACAAGCTCGTGGTGAATTAAAATCAGCTCATGCTGGTGTGTTGTTGGGTTTTGTTTTGTTTTGTTTTTATTTCTTGGCATTCTTTTTCTACTGAAAGCAAAAGTTCTTACCAGAACAATGCAAAGTATGAAGACCACAGGATTTTAGTATATTTGGCATGTGAAGTGATTTTTAACTGCTCTAAATTAAGATCTTTAGGATTAATATATGTGAATTGTTCTTTTTTTGTTTGTTGTAGCCTAATACTGTTGAATCCTTGAAAATGAAAATAACAGGCTATAGGAAAGAGCAAAGGAGTGAGATTTCAGAATTTCATAAAAGAAAGAAGCATTACATGTATGAGAAGAGCATAATCTGACAATAAATGTCTTTTTTAGATTAGTGGTTTTCAACTCTGGCTGCACATTGAAATCACCTGGGGAAGTTAGGCTTTTGTTAAAAATACTGATTATGTGTGTTTCTTTTTTTTTTTAAAAGATTTTATTTATTTACTCATGAGCGACACAGAAAGAGGCAGAGACACAGGCAGAGGCAGAAGCAGGCTCCCTGCAAGGAGCCGGACACGGGACTTGATCCCAGATTCTGGGATCACGCCCTGAGTCGAAGGCAGACGCTCAACTGCTGAGCCACCCTGGCGTCCCGATATGTGTTTCATCCCAGTGAATTAATCAGACTCTGGGGATGGAGACTGGGTATTTGTATTTTTCAGATGCTGTAGTGTTGATTTTAATGTGCAGAATTGAGAACCTGTGTATAGCTTTAGAGGTTATCAAAAACCACAGATATAAATACTGTTTATATGGCTTGGCCATGCATTGTGACTTATAAAGTGAAGAGCCTTTATTTAGCAATTACTGAAAGTTAAGGAGACATTTTCTTTTTTTTTCCTGGTATTTAAAAAAATTTAAAAATGTGTTTAACAGTAGAAAATAATATTGAACATGGTGTGATGCAGTGTACATACACATGCACATACTGGACAGAGCAGGAATTATAAAGTGCAGAGCCTTCTGTCCCGTCCCTTCTTCTCCTAGACTATCTCATCTGATTATATTTCAACAGAAATTCTTCCTAAAGGAGATTTTCTTTTTTTTTTAGATTTTATTTATTTATTCATGAGAGACACAGAGAGAAAGAGAGAGACAGAAACACAGGCAGGGGGAGGAGCAGGCTCCCCAGAGGGAGCCAGATTCAGGACTCGATCCCGGGACCCCAGGATCACTCCCTGAGCTGAAGGTGGACACTCAACCGCTGAGCCATCCAGGTGGCCCAAGGAGATATTTTCCAAACTTGACATTTCAAAATTCAAATTTATACCATTTTGAAACATTTTTATATTTTTAAAAAGCATTTTTCTAATTTTATTCATTGTATAGTTTCCACATTTTATACTGTTTGTGTGACAAAGGAAATTGGGACAAAACTTTTAAAAAATTGACTATCAAAGACAACTTTATATTTTTTAATAGTTTCTATTACTAAGTCTTTGTTTTTATATACCAGATCAAATGTTTTGAAAATGTTTCTTCCCAGAACAAGACTGCCATCATGTTCTGTGCACCCATCCAAATAAAATGTCTTGTCTTCTGTGTTAATTCTGTTGGAGACATACAGGGACTTACTGAAATGTTTTTTAGTTTTACTCTTCTGCTATTATGGTTAGTTTTCCCATGTCATTATGTTGGGGATACTTCTTACATGTATTTGGTAACATCACTCACCAGAACTAATTAGTTTTATTTACCTTTGTTAAGAGAAAAAAAAAGAAATTTTTAAAAAATTTTATTTTTTTTTGAGAGAGCGTGTGCGTGCATGAGCACAAATGGGGGGATGGGCAGAGGGAGAGGGAGAAGCAGACTCCCTGCTGAGCGGGGAGCCTGATATGGGGCTTGATCTCACACCCTGAGATCATGACCTGAACCAAAGGCAGACTCTTAACCACTGAGCTGCCCAGCCACCCTGAAAAAAGGAAATTTTGAGTTAACTCTTGGATTTATTAGTTTTCCTTTGTGTAACCATTTCTAATTCTAGTTAGCTATTGGTGGTGGACTAAATTGCAGATTTCTTTTATGTTTACTTGATACTAGGTTATTCATTTATTCAGTGCATCTTTGAGTACCTACTATGTGCTACCTACTCTTCTAGGCATTGGGGATATAATTATGAAGAAAATAAAATTCTTGTTCTCATGATGTTTAATTATATTCAAGTAAAGGGACTTCTAGAATTGACTTGTTAATGTTTCTTTGTTTATTAGAGCTTCAGGTGAGGAAGTGTGTAAGGCATTTTTAAAATTTCAGATGTGATGTGTTTCTTTCACTAACATGGGAAAATCTATGTAAAAATTTTACTTTTGAAAATGCACAAACTCCTGATAATTCATATAGCTTGCATGTATTTATATTCTCCATATGATTTTCTTGCATTAATTTAGATTAATTTTTTCTGTGTAATTTAATACTTTAATTTTAAAAGTTGTATCTAGTTTTTCATTGCTTTGAAAATATTTTTGATCTTTGCAAATAATCTAGTGGTCCTAGATACAGTCACATATAAATGGTTCAGGCAGATGTTGGAATTCTACAATTGTTTTTACTTTGATATTAGCTTGAACTGGTGTTATAAACTCTACGATATAAATTCCAATGAAATATGATATATGGTAGTCAAGTGGGCAAATGGCCCTTAATCAAGTATCAGCCTTAGTTAGGTATGAGCTCACCATCTGAACTGGCGTGGAACTTAGGTCACTGTAGGGAGAAATTACTTATTAGCTTTTCTGGACTTCTTTCAAATGATATTTAAGTGTCCATTAAACAGTGATGGTGCCTATATTCTTTGTAGGTAGAGGTTCTGTAAACTGTAGATTTCTTTGTCAGTTCAGGAGATCTTGTTGGAACTGATGGAGCTGTAGTGTTCCTGACTATGTAGAAAGGTGACACACACACAAATGAACGCTGATCTATCCTTTGATCAAGTTCTGTAAGCACATATCTTCTGTGCAGTTTGTGGAGTTGATAGTGGGATGGAATGAAGATCTTGAATAACAGGATAGTGTAACATTTCTTAGGAAATAACATTAGAGAAATGGATTTTTAAAATTTCGGAGACATGACATGCTTATGTCCAACTTAAAACAGGTCAAAATGGCATTTTTGGATAGAAATGATAAGTAGTAGTGGGAAAGTAGCATTTTCCCCTTTGTCCTTTGAATTTTTATATAAGTATTTTTTAAGCTGCTTGTTATCAATTATGATATTGTTCACAAACCTAGGATTTTTAAGCTTCTATAAATAGCCACAAACTTAGAAGATACTTTATTTTATATTACTGTAGTTTGGGTTGAACGGAGGTCTTACTTTAGTAGATTGATTTAGTAGAAAGATTGAATGTATTCTCTTTTTTAAAAAATATGGAACACTTCATGAGTTTGGGTGTCATTCCCGCACAGGAGTCATGCTAATCTTCTCTGTATCGTTCAGTTTTAGTATATGTGCTGCTGAAGCAAGCACCGTATTCATTCTCTTCAAAGCACTCACAACTTACGTTTTCATCCTCAACTCCCTACCACTCTTTGGGTTTTTGCAAATAAAATGTCTGTTGGTATATTTACTCCAGTATTATTTTTTTTTATTCCAGTGTATTTACTTTTACTCAGTGTAATCTAGTGAAAATAATTGCAAAGGCAAGTGAGGAAGGAAAGGTTTTTTGTTTTGTTTTTAATGACTCTCCAAGAGCATCACACCATTCCTCTTTGGCAGGGTGGGGGCAGTGGAAAAGATGAACATTTATCGAGTATTTGTTACATAATTGACACTATACTAGTTAGTTGACAAGCATTATCTCTTTTAATTCTTAGTATAGCATTGGGAGGTAAGTATAATTATCTCCATTTTTACAGATGATAAAACCAAGGCTTAGAGAGATTCAATTATTTGCCCCAGATCATTCAAGTAGTAAGATGGTGTTGCTGTAATTTGAGTCCAGCCTGCCTGCTTCCAAAGCCATAGTCATTTTTGGACAAGGACAATTTATTTGAAATAGGGATAACATTTTTTCACTCTGAATGCAGTAAGATAATTATTTTCAAAACTATTCTTTTAAGAAAATGTCTGTTGCCATTTCTAATACAGGTGGAAGCCATAGGAATGTGAATGCTGTAGTCATTCCCTAGGCTCAACAAGTTTCTGTTAGGCAGTCATGAAGAGCGCTGTCAGTACCTTTTAAAAAGGTGAACAAAAATATTTTGCCCCACTTTCTTGTTTTTAAGATGCTCCAAGTCATAGAAATGGGAAAAGCAAATGGTCATTCCTGTTCAGTTTGACAGACCTGAAATCAATCAAGCAAAACAAAGAGGGTATGGGCTGGTCGTATTTGGTATTCTGTCTAAAGGATGACGTCGTCCTCCCTGCTCTGCACTTTCATCAAGGAGATAGCAAACTACTGATTGACTCTCTTGAAAAATATGTGGTGTTGTGTGAGTAAGTATCCAATTATTTTCTACTTCTTGAAACTGGATTTTTGCATTGGTCCCCAGGCAAGCAAGTTTGACTTGTCCTTGGGCATCGGAGACCTGTGTGCAGATGAGGGCACAGGCAGCTTTGGCCTTTTTGGGATATTGACTGCTTTGGATGAATGATTAAGATTTTGCCATTTTTGTACTTTGGGTCAGCAACTTGTCACCTTATTAGTGTTCTAAAGAAGCGTGGTCCCATATTTTTTATACATATTTAAATGATGCCTCGATAACTTATGGATTATATATTTATATAATTAACGTTTTATTACATATTGTCTCTTAAAGATAGAATTTTACTTGTAATATTATATATTTATATCCAGCAGGTCTAAGACCTTTATAAAATTATTATAAGTGTGGAAGACAGGGCTTTTTTGCTTTCCAGAAGTCTGGTGTCTTATATTTATTCATCTATGTGCATTTTTACACACATACTCTTTTTTGCTTTTACTTCCAACACCTATGTTTTGGGTATCAGAGTTCTGAGCATTGTGTTAGTTGCTTCATGGTTGTAAGCACAATAGGTTGTTCCTGGATTTCTGAGAGTTTATGGTCTTGTGAAGAATGCCAACTAGTAAATGGCAATAAATCTCAAGAACTAAGATGAAGTTACAAGGTGCTTTGGGAGCTGCCAGAAGGGAAGAAGGGTCTCTCATTCAGACTGGGGGTTGGGTGGGTTTCAGGGCAGACTTTCTTGAGGAAGTAGCATCTGTGTTAGACCTACAAATGAGTGAACATTAGCATGTAAGGGAGGGAAATATTTACAGGGAAAGGTGTTTTAGATGGAAGAATTTAAAACCTGTAATCCCAGAACAAAGTAGTTGAATATCACAGGTCTGCATATTGGGGGGAGGAGGGTACCAAATTTAAAAGTGAGGCCAGCGAGTTGAGTAAATGCCAGAGCATGAAGGATCTTGTAAATAATTTTAGCCATTTGTTCCAGTCATGTACATAAGATGATAGTGGGATGAACTTGGACAGGAAAGATAGAAGTACTGGAAAAAGATATTTAGGGTTTACTTTTGTGATTGAGTGGGTATGTGGAGGTAAGAAGAAGGGAGTTGAGATTTTAGCTTGAGGAACTGTAGGGATGGTTGTTAACCTTGTTAGTAATGTTGTCACTTTATAATAGAGTAACATAATGTTTAAACTTAGATTATATAAATCTAGTAGTGATCCAGAATTTGGAAGATTTTGGCTGCATTTTTTGATCTGACGTTCTCTCCCCTACCATGTTGACCATCTCTGGGTGACACTAGGCATAGATCAGTAGCAGTATCCATAAGAAGGTCAAGTCTGGTCGGCAGTATGTGGGTTTTGGATCTTGAAGTGGGAAGCTTTGAATAGGTTACCACCCAGGTTGGGGGATTAAGTAGATTCAGGAGGGGCAAATGGTCTGGCTGTTGAACAGCAGATATTAAAGGCTTAGGGGTTTTAGTACCATAGCAAACTCTATGTTGTGATGTAACTGTCAGAGTTCATGCAACCTGAGACCATTGATTAAAGTGTAGTATTTAGGATGAAGTGGTAGTTCCTCTCCACCCTTTACTGGTCTTTACTTTGGAGAACTTTGGTTGGTGTTAAACATTGCATTTTAAACGTGTTAGATATACCACTAGAAGAGACGACTAGTATAAAGAGACAGATCAAAGTGATATGAAAAACATGAAAAGGATGTGGAGATTTAACTTAAAGAAGAGGTGTTTTGGTGCAGTGTTAAACAAAATCCAAACTTATTATGGTCAGTGTAATCCTGCACTGCCTTTTTAAATTCTGTTTATCTCTTCAGCCTCACTTCATGCCATTCTCTTTTATATTCTGGCCATATAGTTTTCTTTCAGTTCCTGAAATGCCCCAGACTCTTGCTTTAGAGTCCTATATGTATGCTGTTTTTCTTTTGCCTGGAATATTTTCCTTTTTCTGATCCTAAGTGTGGCTTTTCTGAATGTCCTCTCTCCCATGTAATGTAGGTTCCTACTCCCTTTCTTTTTCATTGTCTCATTTCCTTGTTTGCTCCCTTCATAACTCTTAATAGAATAATGTTATTTATTTACTTTTTAAATATTCTACTCTAGAATGTATGCTCACAAAGGCAGGGATCATATCTGTTTTGTTTACATTTTCACTTAAGTTCCTAGCCACAGTGCCTAGCACATAATATTTACATAATAAGTCTCAGTTGAATGAATAAATGGCATAGTACTTAACCAATGCTACCAATAATTTTAAAAAGGATGTTTTAAGAAATAGATTATAATTTGATTTGTATGGCTTTAGAGAGCAATTAGAAGAAAACAGGTTGTAGCTCAGGAATTGGAGAGTTTTCTATCTTGGGTGGGTTCAAGGATAGACTCGGCAATAACTTAGGTGCTTATAAAGAGTCTATATATCTTGAATGTGTGTTGGTGATGTTTTAATGAGGGTTGTGAATGAAACTTCTTTACAAATACAGAAAAGGAAACAAAGTAAGGAGTAAATATAAGAATCAGATAATGGTAAAAATATAGTTATTGATGAGGCTTAGATATGCAGCATCATCATAATTTACCCCAAAGTAGTTTTGAAGTCACTCACCAATTTTTGAACAACTACAGGTCTTCCTATTGAGGACAGACCACTTATGATGTGAATGAAACCAGACCAGAAAGCCTCTTTTATGTTGATAGGCAAATCTGAGAGAGAGAGAGAGAGAGAGAGAGAGAGAGAGCAAGAGCAAGCGCAAATCCATGTGTGCGAGTGTGTGCGCATGCAATGTCTGGAAGGCGAAGTGTTGTTTATGCCAAGCATGTACCTTACTCTTTCCTATCTCAGTAATCAGATTTGTCTTAGCCAAGGAGAGTTTAATAGAAGTGCATATTTCCATTTGAAAACACAAAGCCATGGGAATGATGTCCCCTCCCGCCATATATAGTTTTTTTTTTTTTGAAGACCACTTATGTCCTAGACACTCTGTGCTAACTGCTAGAAGAAGCAGTAATCACAAAAGATATGGTCCCTGCCTTCATGAAGTTTGTACCCTTGTAGGAGAGACAGACATTACTTATACAAATAAACATAGCATTTGGCTGTAATAGGTACTCCAAATAAGAGATGTGTAGCACTATGTAAGTATATAGTAGGATAATTTGTAAGTTTTTTGTGAGTCAGTAGTAATTGAAGCTCTGAGAAAGAATGAAATTAAGGGGAGGATAAAATGGAATATAATGTGAACATCAGTGATTAATTGCAACCTTTAATGGCCTGGTCAAAGAGAAGAACCTGACAGAGGAGACTGACCTCCCTCCCTATATTTGGTTCTTTTCTCTCTCCCTTTTGGGTTTTTATCACTCAATTTATAGTCCTGTGGAGATGTAGCCTTTCTAGGGGGGTGAGAAGGGTGGAAGAGATAGTCCTTCAAAAACCACCCCTGATACCAGCTACTTCTCCATGGTGCATTCTTCTGTGACACTGGAAGCTAATTTATTCTTTGCCCTCTGAATGATCTGAAATACGTAAGAATAGTACCCAAGGCCCCTCTGTACCCTAAGCTGAAATAAACACTTCCTGTTCTCTCTCCCGTTATAAATTATACCAAATTATATTGTGCTGTAGAGCTCACCAGAGATTATATGTTGAGTCCAGTGGTAGACTATGGATACTCCAAATAAACTGTCACTGACATTAAAAAAAATTCCATATTTGTGTAAGCCATCTGTATCAGATTCTCAGGAAGATATTAAAGATCTTTGTTCTTTATTTCACTAGTTATAATCTAAATAAATGGAATTCTCAATTAAGTTGAACTCCAAAGAAATGAAAATTCTCAGTTTTTCACTCTACTAGATGTCAGCCCCGGCAACCTCATTTGCTGTCCCTAGATCAGTTATCTTAAGCAAAGTGATGTTTCCAGAGTTACATTCCTGTGGTCGGAGATTGTTGTAGAGACCAGAAGGAAGAATAGTTCCAGAAAACTTTGGTTTCCACAGCCTCATTGGGATGCCTGGCAGTCTATGC